TGCAGTTTATTGAAACAATATATACTAGTGTAAAAATAAAACAATATAAATATTAAAATATTTATTAATTGATAGCAACACTATATCACAAGTACAGCGACAATAGGACAATACAATATTTTATAATAATTTCTCTTAGTACCCTCCTTTTTATCGCCTAACATAGTAACTATATTTTACTAAACAAATAATTATATATATTTATAATTGACACTATGATTACAAATTCGCTAAACAAATGCCTCGGGCAAATCACTGATGTGGACATAATATAAAAAGGGCCGATTCAAAAAAATACACACGACAAAATCGACATAAATGCTTCTCTGTAAATTAAAGTATATAATGCTATATCTTATCAATTTTATTATATTTGTATTGAATCGCCAATATTTTTTAAGTTAGCCGATTCGAAAAAATTGTGCCTATACAAGCAAAAATATAGCCGATTAAGTACATTTGCCCAATCAAATATGTCCATGATCTCTAAATTATAATCAATCAAATTAAATTGCTTTTAAAAGCGATCACCAAAAAAAATACTGGCAAATAATATATCACAATTTTACTTAAGAACAAATTAAGTCGTCACCGAATAAAGAAAAAAAAAATAAGTACAAACATAAAAAAATCAAAGGTCTTTTAAATGTATATTCGAGTGTGGATTGCAAAAAAAGATTCTTTTAAAAAGATCTGTTGAAGGACTAAAAAAAAATTGCATAGATTGTTAAAATTATTAGACATGTCAAAAACAATTATTGTATATACATTTATACATATGCTACAAAAATAAAATAAAAACTTGACAACGTTGCATACAATTAATACGTAGTGAATTTATTATTTAACTATTTTTTTTCTAGTTTAGTCATTTTTCTATGAGAATTCTGAACACATAAATCATTGGTAATTTATATAAGTACAATAATTTTATTCAAAAATATACTAAATTGTGAACACTTAAAGTCGATTTTAGCTCAGCAGTTCTTGTTTTAGAAAATTTAAAAATAACAAAAAAATTAGCACCTTTCCAACGTACAGTTTCCACTGACGATACATTCATATAAAAAAGAGACAAAAATATGCTTATATTCAAAAGCCCGCAGTTATAAATTCACAATTTTAATTTCAAGCAAAATATCACAATGTTAAAATCCTTCATATTCTTTCAATTGACAAATCTCAATGAAATGTAACAATTTAAATTTTCATATTAACTCGAGTAGTCATTTTTAACATGAAATTAGTTTTTTACTTGTTTGCTGCGATAATAGTTTTTAATTTAAAATATATATTTAAGTATATAATACAGTTTATTAAACGTATGTGACAAAGTTTAAGTCTTAGCAAGGCAAGTTATACTAATTTGATATACAGGATGTTCCAAAATAACGTGTAAACATGACACATGTATAATAAATATATATATAGTGTTAAGGTCCAGCCTTATACTTATATCTCACAATATAAACAACTCCTCTCTCTACTCACTCGAAGGAACATTGTTAAAAGCACTTGGTGATGTTTTTCAATAGGTTAAGTTTTTGTTTTGTTTTTAAAACGTTTAGGACGTCTTCTTTTTTTCTTGTAGTTTTTTATAGCTCTGAAATAAAAATGTTTACATTTAAAGCTTTATTTTTTTACTTAGTTTTTCGTTTACTATCCGGTCTTAATATTGGTTGAATACGAACCAAATCCTTCAAAATATTAAAAACAACCTGGATAAACAAAAACGTTTTCCTATCGAATATTGATTAAGGGCGTCAGTTATAATAATAAGTCATAAATGGTGTTACCTCCTCGGCCATGCGGTGCAGCATGGCGGACGTCTCGGGGCCGGTCTGCTCCACCAGGGATTTGAAGTAACCTGTCTCCTGGTCGTTCGCCTCGGACCTGCGGCCCACAATAGAACTGAACAGAAGATATATTAAACTGCCAACATAAACCATTATAGAGTGACGAGACTAAACGGGTACCCGTTGCTGAGTTGGTACGTCAGTCACGAGAGCACTCGAGCTGTCGACGTGCCAACTCAAATGTCGGGTATGACGCGTGTAACAATGGCTTGTACCTGTTGGAATAGGTCCTGATCCTGTCGCGGGAGAGCACGAAGGTCTCGTTGAGGTCTGTGTCCGCGGGCCGCTCCGCCTCGAACGGGAAGTTCTCGGGTATCGCGAGCGGCGCCTGCAACATTACCACATCACTCGGTGCTCGCTCTCCTCCTCTCCTGTTACTTAATCTAACATGCAGAGTACCGACTTGGCTCTTAGTCAGCAGCGTCCTTCGGGGCGGCAGCTCTGGCCGGCCCGCCGCGCTCGTCAGCAGCTCGAACGGATGCCCCGACTCCACCACGCGCCCCCTGTACATACAAATATGGTATATTTTATATTTACTTTTTCTCACGTACAAAAAAATGTGTTCGTCACGTAGACGACTATAATAAATAAGTTGATGTCGCATAAAAGTGAATGTATTGTCCTAACTTGTCCATAACGATGACGCGGTCGTAGTCCATGACGGTGTTGAGGCGGTGCGCGATGGTGAGCACCGTGGCCTGCGCGAAGGTGGTGCGCAGCGTCGCCTGGATGTGCTCGTCCGTCCTGCAAGAGCGCGAGCGCGGTGTGAGTGCGGGTTCGGGTGAGCGTGCGCGTGCTCGAGCGCGACTAGACTCACTCCGTGTCCACGTTGGCCGTGGCCTCGTCCAGCACGAGCACCTTGCGGCCGGCGAGCGCGGCGCGCGCCAGGCACAGCAGCTGGCGCTGGCCGGCCGAGAGCGTGCCGCCCGCGTCGCCCACGCGCGCCGCCAGCCCGCCCGGCAGGCCCGCGGCCGCCGCGCGCAGCCGCACGCGCTCCAGCGCCGCCCACAGCTGCGCGTCGCCGTACCGCCGCTCGGGGTCGAGGTTGTCGCGCAGCGTGGCGGCGAACAGCGCGGCCCGCTGCGGCAGCGCGCACAGCCGCGACCGCCACGCGCGCAGCCCGCACGCCTCCGCGCGCACGCCGTCCACCGTCACGCGCCCCGACACCCGCGCCAGCCGGAACAGCGCCGCCACCAGCGAGCTCTTGCCGGCGCCGGTGCGCCCCACCACCGCCACCTTCTCGCCCGCCGCCACTGAGAAGCTCACGCCGCGCACCGCGTACTGCACCTCCTCCGCCACCTCCCCCACAACACCCACACCACCCGCACCCCCTTCCTTTCTGGGCGGCTTCTCGTACTCCACCGACACGTCCTCGAATACTATTTCACCTGAGGAAAGAGGTGATTTTTAAATTCCTTCGACGAGACGAGATCAAATTAGATTTACATCTTCCTATTTTTACCTTTGTTCGGCCACGTATCAAAATCTAGATTAGGATTTTCTGCCTTCAATAAGTTTTCGTCGACATCTACGGGATGTTCCGCCGGCAGGTTCGTGTATTCCAATATTCTTTCCACCTTAAAAACGTTTCAAATTGAATTGATTTATTGAAAGCGATTAAAAATATCGCAAGTCGTATAGAGAACTCACCGATGTCATCTGGTTCTCGACCTCGGCTGTCTGTCGCATGCCGTACTGGCACATGCCCACCAGGCCGATCACCTGCGTGATGGCCAGCCCCACGTTGCCGCCCATCGCGTCTGCAACCACACACCGCACTCCTCATTATACGCGCCACACTCTATTCTATTGCTCTTTTACAAATCAGTAAAAGAACAAAACAAGAATACTTGCACACGTGCGACTCACCGCCTCCAACAAACAGGAAGAAACTGAAGGTGACGAAGGCGAGGTAGAGGCAGCAGACCATGTCCATCCAGAAGCCGAAGGCGCGGTTGGTGTTGAGGACGAGGGTCCAGGCGCAGCTGTGCAGGTCCTGTAGTTTGTCGAACTCCCGCGCCAGCACCCTCTGCCGCGACCCGCACGACCTGATCGTCGTCAGCCCCGACACCGTCGCCGCCGCCTGGTTCAAGCTCTGACTGCGAGCTGCCGGACCACAAACATTTATAACACCTGTCCTCGGAAAAAAACCTAAATTTGGCAATCATAACCGAAACTCACCGATTGCCTCTATCCTCTTGAGCTCTCGACTGGTGTTGAGGAAGAGGTTCCTCAGCAGATGCAGGAGGAAGGCCACCACCGCGGTGGGCAGCAGCAGCCACCAGTTCACCAGACAAACCACCACCAAGATCGACACCACTTCTAAGAAGAACTGACGACAGAAAACACCTCGTTAAGTGAAATCCGATAAAGTTACCTCATGTTAGAAATTTTCATCACAGACTTACCCCGAGACAGTCGACCAGCGCGACTGGCAGCAGGGTATCCACCTGACCCATGTCCTTGGAGAAGCGGTTCAGGATTCGGCCCGAGGGGTTGTGGTGGAAGAACCACATCGGGGCGTTGGTAACTCCTCTGAAAACAAATGTATCTTTAAAAGTAAGAACAAACTGTTAATTGTGTCATAATTTTGTGGTAATGTGTAACTTCTCCACCTGAACATATTGTCGTGCAGAGTGATGGAGGCCTTTATGCAGGTGTTGTAGAAGACGATGAGCTTGTTGCCAGTGAAGAAGATGCAGATGGCGATCAGACTGCCGTAGATGTACACGCACTCGTTGCGCGTCAGGTGGAAGTAGTTGTCAGGTATATCCTGGAAATCTACAATAAACACATAAGACAGAGTTAAAACACTAAAAGAGAAGACAAGCAGATATTTAATAAGTGTTCAAAAGCAAAACATGTTTACCTGGAGGCGGTGCGGCGGAGGAGGCGTTCGTGTAATTCCTTCTCACGGAGTTATACGCGCTGTTTTTTTCTTCCAAATTTACCCTGAAATGTTATCTTACTATAAAACTTAAGACTAATATTATAAATACGAATGTATGGATGTTTGTTAGAAGGTATCTCCAGAACGGCTGTATGGATCTCGCTAAAATTTGTCATAGAACATAGTTTGGAAGAACACATAGGCTACTAATTAAGCCTTTCTTTTAATTCCGCGCAGACAAAGTCGAGGTTAACAGCTAGTAAAAATATATAACTGAGAATTTGAAATGTTACCATTACTATTTCTGATTAATCTTATCTTTTCGTAGTTAATTCAAGGGTTTTATATTGAACAATATGAACACTGACCACTCTTTGAGCCAGACGTCGCAGGAGGAGTAGAAGACCTGGGCCAGCAGGAAGAGAGCGAACAGCAGCAGCATGGAGGCGACGCTGCCGCCGCTCTTGATGTACGCCAGGTACACGCTGCTGTCCACTGAACCCTTGTTCTGACTCTCACCTGAAAAACACAACTAGATATTGAATGACTGAATGAAATTATAACCAATCATTCTTATACCGTTCAATTAGTTCAATGAATGAACTATTTCAGTCTTTCGTTTATTCATTAATTGTTAAATTCATTTGTTAATTGGTTGTTTATTAAACGAGTTATTTTGACGTCAAAATGAAGGAGTATATTATTATTAATACGTCTGTCTTGTTTTTATTATCCTTTTTTCCATTGAACGAATGAACGAATGAAAGATAGAATGACACAGTAAAAATGATCTCTCAGTCAAGTTCGTAGTAATTCTATAAACAGTAAATACTGACCTTCATACTTGGGGTCCATGTGGTTGTCGAGGTCCATGTTGAAGGAGAGTTGTGATGCTTCGGACATAGATCTCTGGGAGCGCAGCTTGTGGATGTTGTCCTGGTAACAAATAAAACAACATAGTAAAAAATATATAATTGAAAAGGTTTTTAATCGAATATACTACTTAATTTAGCAAAAGACAAATTTAATTTATATCTTTAACAAGTAAAAACTAATGGTACAACAAAACATTTTTATTTAATTTATCTATCCTAAACACAAACTACATGCAACATTAAAACAACGCAACAAAAAACATAAACCAAATTAGTAAATCTCCTAACTAATATAATTAATTACGATTTTGAACTAAAATATTGTGTACATTTTTACTTATATCCACTTGCTCGACTATCGCTGCAGCTGGGTACACCTAAAATATATAAACATATAAAATCTCTGTCTCAAAGTCATTCATTCACTCATTCACTATCGCAAAGATTTTTATTCAATCATTCATGTATACAGTTTCCCATCACTAAGCTAGTAGTAACTCTGTGACAGTAATCGTGTACATTAATAAATTATAGTTATCTCTATTTTTTCAAAGTGAGTGAAAGAGATAGCAAGTGTATTGTCTGTCTGTTAAATGCTCAATATAATTATTGTACATGTTTGCAGTAAAACTTACAATGCTTTCGTGCTTCTCGTACCCAGCCTTCTGCTTCTGTTTCTGTTCTTCGACGCGCTCCCCCATCTCTTTCAGCTTCTCAAACTCTGCTACACCAGATTTCAGTTCTTGGTACGTCCCTTGTGCTACTATCTGTTCCACATAAAAATCAAATTATTTAATCGTATATAATTAAAAAATAAACAGTACATTTTGTTAATATTTTTGTTTCGACGAAGCAAAATAAGCGGATAATTCAGGAGTGACAATTACTCTCTTAACTACTCTTAATACATAGTAATATACTTGTGACATTTCACTTAAGGTTGCCATTATCGATTATGAAGTGAGACAGCATCATATCGGTGTCTCGCTCAGTCCTACGTGTACGTACCCTGGCGTCGCGCATGACGCACACGTTGTCAGCGTGTCGTGCGTACTGCACGTGATGCGTCACCAGCACCACCGCCCGGTCCCGCAGGAACCCGCGCACGCACTCCTCGTAGATCGCCTGCGCCACCTACACAACACAAACAAAATTCATTATAGTACATTTTCATACTAAACATTTGGTGATATATGTGTGAAAGAAAATGCAAATTATTTAATTACCTTTGCATCTACAGCCGCCAGCGGGTCGTCCAGTAGATAGAGATCAGCCTGCTGGTAGACGCAGCGAGCCAGCGACACGCGCGCCCTCTGCCCGCCTGACAGGGTCGAACCTATGACAAGTCATTTAACTTGTAAACTTACTGTAATATTATAAACTGGAACTTTAGAAGATTATCTGCTAATTCTAATTACGTAGACAGTGTGAGAAAGAGATAACGCTCTACAAATTATATTTTAATATAATAACAATGTATTCAGTGACCTCTCTCGCCGACGACGGTCTTGTCCCCGTGCGGCAGGATGTCGAGGTCACTCTTCAGCTGGCAGCACTTGATCACCTGCTTGTAGCGGCGCAGGTCCAGCTCCTGACCGAACAGTATGTTCTGCCGTACCTGAAACACCGACACAATACTAGTATTAAAGCGTACAGTACAAATTTTTATTACTACTTGAACACTGTAATTAAACATCTTATCTACCAATATTATGAAGAGAAAACATTTTCGTATGTTTGTTACTAGAAAACTCAAAAACTATTGGACCAATTACAAAAATTCTTTGGACATTAGAATTCCACATTATTTATAAGTATGGTATAGCCACGATATTCAGAGTTAAGGAGCGTCTAAGTGAAACATACGGAAGCATCGAAGAGCCAGGGATCCTGTGCGGCGTAGGCGATGTTGGCGCGCACGTGCAGAGTGCCGGAGCTGGGCACCAGCTCGCGCAGCATCGCCTGCAGCAGCGTAGACTTGCCCGCGCCCACCACACCCACCACCGTCGTCAGGCTCTCCGGCTTTATCTATAGAGCGGGATACGTGATCATCGTCAAAAATATCAGGATATTATTTAAAATACGTTACTATGGTAACCGATATAATTGGATGGATTATATCCATTTTCATGCTTAGTATCCCTTTTTATCCCTTTATATCTATTGCTTTGTCCATTTTGATGTGTTCACTTACGTCCAAGTCGATATCGGCGAGGGCGAGTTGCTTGCCATCGGCCGTCTCATCGTCGACGTTCCTCCAGTGCGCCGTGTACTGCTTGAAGCTGACCAACACGTTCGCCTTCACGTGCTCCAGGTTCGATTCAGACTTTATGTACGTTTGCCCGCTGGATATATACATTTTCCAAATTATAATCAACATTTTACATTAAAAAGTGTAAAAAAACGTATTTCAAGTAGGTCTACTGATCATTGGACGCTCTTCTTTTTATAATTACGAATATTTTCATATCGTAGACAATAGATAACAAAAAGGAATAAAAAGTCACAAACGAATTATCATACAAGTAAAAAAGACTCACCCATTGCCAATCTTCTCAAAAACTCCATTGCTAAGAGCGGGAACCTTACTCTCTTCTATATTTATCAGATTAACATTATCCTGATTATCAACTTCTGGCAGCAGCAGGAACTCCTGCATCCTTTTCACGCTGACGTACGCCTCCAGGGTGAAGGTAATAGCCAGCGGCAGGAAGTCGACCAGAGTATACTTGAGGATGTCGTAGTAGGAGAAGATGACGAACACCTTGGAGGCGGTCAACTCGTTTTGGAAGGAGAGGAAGGAGATGATGCTGAGGAATATTGCGACTTTCGTGTTCAGCTTGACGCAGGATATCATCACGGCGCGCAGCCACGACATCTTCTTTATTACATTCATCTCTTTCCTGTGGAACAAAAACTTGCATAAAAAATAACAGAAAAATTTTACATGGATATTTAAGCATAAAGACAAAATTTGACAAAAAAAAGCCTGGGTACATCTTCTTGGTTACTCTTGATCTTCTATAGTAAGAAAAATCGTGTGTCTTTTGTAATGAACCGTTCTGTATATAACTTACTTCCTCGCCTGTCCAATGATCCTGACGAAGGCGTTCTCCCAGGCGTACATCTTGATAGCCTCAATGCTCTGTATCACCTCGTTCATCAGACGGATGCGGTTGTCTGTCCGCACGGCAGTTTGTCGTCGCAACTTGCTCGAGATCTTGCCTAGGTAACCTGCGAACGGCATACGGCGATATATACACATCCCTTTCCTTCGGTAAAAAGAAAAGAATAGAAGATCTGCTTTTTCAAACCAAACTAGTAAATCTTCGGAAATTTTGTTAGTGTAGCAGCCTTTTTGCAACAAACAAAAGTTGAAATAAACTACATATATAGGCAAAGTTGCACACGGATTAGAAATCCTTTAATTACAAATATCATGTTATCGTGCACGCATAGTACCTTGCAGTGGTATAAACAACAGGAGGAAGGAAACTCCGATGAGCGTGGCGACACCTATCTGCCGGTACATGAGGTAGATGATGAGTACGCTCTCTATGGGTGTGCGCACCAGGTCCACCATGAACAGGCTGGCCATGTCGAAGCGCTGCGCGTCAGTAGTCAGCAAGTTGACCACGTGACCAGCTAGACCCTCGGAAGCTTTGCCCCCGGTCGTTAAATCTAATCGTAGTAGCTGAAAGAGTTTTACTGTTAGCCTAACGAAAGAGGGCGCTGTAACCAATTATCAAAATATACGTGTTTCCAGGTCCAGCGTTAGGGTATGGCGCTGGTAGGCGACCGCCCAGGGCGCTAGGCAGAAAGGGGCGCCATGGGTCATTCTCACATAAATGAATTCACACCCCTTAGCATGGTAAAAAAGGGGGCGTTATAGAAGCGCCCAGGGCGCTAGTAAAGTTAAAGCCGCTGATGCATGTTTGTGTTACCTACCTTTCTGTATATGAGTGAGCAGCAGGCGACCCTGATCTTCATGCTCATGGTGAGTAACCACAGCAGCATGGGGTGAATCATGCTGGCGCTCATCGCCATGAACCTGCAACACACAATTCATAGAGTTCTACAATACTTGATTTGTACTACGGATTCACGCCTGATTATATGAATTAAAAAGTACAAGTTAATTTGCAAAAATATGTAATAATTTAACTATGTTGTCTTATTCCAATATCCGATCCAGAAAACATACACCTTATTATTTTGTTTATTACAAAAATGTTTCAATAGATTAGTCACGAAACATCGCTACAACCGTGCCTATTGTAAATGAAAAGAACAAATCGTGTAAATCTTTATTCAAATTCAAATGTTTTGTATAGATTTCCCAAAGCAACATGCTTCAAATTAAATTCAACTTTACTGTAAGGGAATAAAGTCGAGTTTTTATTGAAAAAGATAATAGAAAATATTTCCATTTTATGTTTTTACTCGATTCTGCGAAATTTTCTGTCTCTACACTCATTTATAAAATAACCAAGCGGAATTTTGATGTTGTTTTCGTATACTTTCCGGAACTTTTGTTTAATTCAGACATTCTTTGAGATTCGGTTTTTAGTCATGTTTGTTGAAGCTACTCACCCCACAACACCTAGGGCGTACAGATACGCTTCATTGGTGGTGACGCCCGCGTGCGACGGCGAAAAGTAATTAATAAGCCCCTCCAGGCACATTGGTATTGATAACCTGAAAACATTACCTGGAAACTTAATTACTAACCTAACCTAACAAATTCTATTAACTAATTCAGAATTAGCCGACAAATAATAGAGAGTAGAGTTAAAACCTCAATTTAGTTCTAATTTCTATCAACAGTAACGCCTTATACCGCTTCAAAATAGTGAAAATCAAATACGCACAAAATAGCACAACTTATAGCCTGTCCAGTGAAATATAGAGGTCAGGAGTTACGCAACAAGCTCCAGTTCCAAGTCTAATGTAAGAATATCCTTCAAGAATTTCAAAATAGCTATTTATGATTACATTCATACGTAAACTGTATTCAGGTTTACTTTTGAACACTGAGAACTAAGTGTAGATTTAGTTAAAGGATTCTCGATTAAGGTCTTAGTGACCAATTAATGGTTCTGCGTGAGGAATTAAAAATTAATTTATAAATAAAATTACTTACCTAATACTAGCATCTATAAATGCAAATATTAAATTTCCTATGATGAACTTTGTACCGTATATTTTCACTATAGTTCTTAGCAACGACGGCTTTTTATTTTTATCTGAAAATGTATAATAAAATATTATTTATCTTACTATAGTATTATCTAGCTAATGTTTGAATAGATGGATGGATAGTTTAGAAGGTATCTTCAAAACGGCTGCATGAATTTCATTGAAATTTGGCATAGACGTAGAATATAAGAACACATTTATTTATTTTATTTTAACAGTGGTAGAGCCTGCTTTAACATCTTCGCACGAATTGGCCCGGCTCGCCCGGTGAAATACCACGACCACGCAGAAGACAGGAGTGAAGTGGAAGCAGGTCCGCGTTTCGTCTGATGAGTGTGCGTCCCGGAGGCCTAATTTAGTCCTCTTTCTCTTCCCACCGTTTTTCTTATAAGGAAACGATGGGAAGTGGAAGTGGACTTTCCGGATGAGAGGATGCATGGAAAGGGAAAATATTTTCTTTCTGTGCATCGTCTCCTTCGTCGATTAAAGGTAGGCAACGCATATGCAATTGCGTGTGTCTATGGGCAGCGGTCACTTCGCTATTTTAGCGATTTCAGGTGGCCTGTCGCTCGTTTGCCACCTTATATAATAATATAAAAAAACATAGTTTATTAATTAAGTTAAACAGCTAGTTAATAAATAAATAGGAAAAAATTACACTGTACGTTACATAATAATTACTATGATTCATTACATCTATTACAATTAGATACTATCACACTATGACAATGCAAACATCTGCCCACTACTAAGAGACAGATGTAATTTCAATTGCAGTTACCTTGTTTTTGTTTTTCGTGTTTCCATTGCTCCGCCATAACATCCCCCCGCGGCGCCGCTCTGTGCCCTGGTGTACATCTAATAACCATATATTAATTAAATTGCTACATAATTAAAGCTCCGTAAATTAATCTCAAATAATAAATTGAAGTTATTACCTATAAAGGTCTGATATGCTTAATTGTCCTTTACGGCCCTTTTCAAATACAGGTCGAGTGTACCTGGAATTATATATATATTAATGTATTACTATCATATTATAAATATGAGGAAATATTGAGTAAGTAAAGTGTCAAAAATGTCTTGAATGCATGGATAACATAGGGTGACGTGTCATTGCTATTCAACAAACCTTCAGATGCTCTAATTGTAAAAAGTAACAAACTCGGCTCACCAGTAACATAGTTTAGAGAAGATGTTAGCAGTTTCCCTCGGGTTTTGCTTCCTCTCTATATCAAAATATCCGGGATCCATTTTGGTATCTTATAATTAAGTACAGTTACTGTGTGTTCACGGTTCGATTCGAATATTCAATTGATTTCTTGCTAACTCGCTGACATTTCAATCTGAAAAAATATTAAATAAAATTAGGAAAATTTAAACATAATTAAAATTTAGAAACTTCCTGTACAACTCAATATGTATTACTATAATACGTTATATAGAAATTGCAATACTTAAAATAAGACACATTAAATAAAAAAATAATTATTAGTTTTTTTTTTATTTATTACAAAACATCTCCTCTATCTATCTCTTTCTTTACGATATTATCTCGCTCATGTAACGAAATATTTCAGTATTAATTAGTTCCACTATAACGTGTATTTAAATTATAAAATCAATAAAATGTACTCTAAAACCCAATATAACCTTATAATCTTAAAATAATGCGACCTTAAATATACGATTGAATATTAATTGCCTCAGACTAGTGTGAGAAAGTAAGGATAAAAACATGTTTCTAAGAAAAAAAACATACAGACGAATTGAGAACTCCTTTTTCGAAGTTGGTTAAAAAGCGACGCATCACAATATGAATAGTAATTGAATGAATAATAAAACTATTCAGTTAATATATACGCAATTAAAAATTATTTGATGTGTTTTGGACAAATAAATGTGTAAAATTCACTAACACTGGCAATTTATGATAAAAAAAGGTTGTGGAAAAATTTCAGTTTTTATTTATCCGATGCCGGAATAAAGGTCAATCAACTTTAGTAAAGATTAATATCTCATGAAATGCTGCTAATGAAAAAAAGAAATTTAAAAAAATCTAGTTCATTAAGCCAACCGGTCTTATACAATTTACATAACCGTATTTTTTATCTACATTTTGTACTCTTGACCCTATAATAAGTGTAACAATTGTAAATGTCAATACACGCAAAGGTCATCATTTCATACAGGTAGGACGAGACCAAGGTTATGTTGAAATGTCAAAACTACGTTATAAAATTCAGACATGCAAAGGGACTGAATGGATCATCGCGTCCCATTCCAGAGACTACAGCTCACCCACACTAGAGCGGGCTACACTTTACATAATTTCAATATTGTATTAAATAAATTAATCATTAATTAAAAACTATGTTATATACTATCTAGAGAGACTAAAATTCCCGATTAAAACATAGTTATCTCTGTATTGTCGAAGATAATGACGGGGATGACAATATATTATATTTTATACAAAGATGTTGGTCTCAGAAACCCATTAGTTGGATATAAGCAGCTTTTGTACAAAAGAACATAGAACTTGGTTAAAATTATAAAGCTAATTCTAATCAAACAAAAGATAAGCGACACATGCAAACCTAAAGTCATTGACCTATATGTAACAAATGACCAGTTTACCCTGACCCATTATACAAAGACATTATCTCAGTGTATAGGATCAGGTGCACTGGATGGCTGTTAATCAGGCAATTAACCAGTACTTTGAGAATTGATAACGTTGAGAGATCGTAATGGATCTGAACGAGCACTTACATATGTAAACAAATTAATTGACCATACATTAAACACATTATAGGGGCTAAAGAACAATTAGTTATTTTATCTTTTAGCTTTTAAAAAGATACATCGAAAGCTTCACGGCTATTTGGCAAAAAATTACTTAAATTATATTAAAAGTTTAAATCTAATTATAATCTGTATAATATTTTCATACTATTTTAAATTATAGTATGCATACAAAAGTATTATTAAATTTTATGTAACGATTAAAGAAAATGTTGAGTATTAGCTATGGTCTTGTCTGTCTTAAGCGCCAAAGTCATGTGTCATTCGTGACAGCTGTCACTTGACAGCGCGCGAAGCAGTTGTGTGATACGATTGTATACGGGGTGTGGTGTTGGTGAACCGTAAAACTTACCAAAGACTGGGACGTTACACTATCTTCATTAAATTAATTGTTTAATCATTAACAAATAATATATATCATATCTTTATTTCGTAGCACAGTTGCATGAAACATATACACAGTACACTATCATTAAATCATTTGTAAACTAGCAACAATTTACTCTTTGATTGTAGCAAATCCTTACATTTTCCTCTTGCACAAAATAATAAAATGGTTTTCCCCTCTGTGGTTACCACATATTACCACGTTGTACTCAAGGTTCATAGTAAATGTTGACATAAACATTTGGTGGTTAAGTTACCATTTTTAGAACAACAATTTCTAGAGGTAGCTTTACTCTTGCTTACATTGTACATTTGTATGTAAACCTAGCTGTCGCACGCGGCTCCTTACAGAAAAGAGAAACATCGTGACGCAATCTGCATATATTTGCGAAGTAATTCAAAGATATTTGTGAAGTCAACTCGGTCTTGACCAGCGTAGTTGACTATGGCCTAGTTACTTCTAATTTTAGGTAAGCTCAGATCCCCTCAGCATTGATCTATTTGCAAGAATAAGGTGTTATTCGAATTGTATATGTCCTTATAAGTATTTTTTTTTATTTATTATTGTTTGGTTACTTAAATGAGAGATATGGTACCATACGAAGTAAATATCATAAATGTTTTTATCTCTTATCTCAATAAAGGTATCGTCTGTTATTCAAACTTGAAGTTATTTTAGTTATAACAAATTCCTTGAATTCACGGCGCTCATTTTCCTCTTTCTTAATATGTTTCACAAATTTCCATGTTATTTTGTTAAATAACATGGAAATTATTGAATAACTAAAAATAACTTCGAGTTTGAGTAACAGAAGATACCTTTATGCATATAAATAATGAATAATCGCTTCCAAAAAAAAAACAAGAAGGGCGCGTTATAATAGCAAGCGTCATGCAAACACGTCATGACGGAAATTGTGACGTCAGAGATGGATTGAGCAGAAAGTGAAATTTGACATAAAATCGTTCTACTCTAGTAAATGACCCTGCGTACGGATTAATACGTCAGAATTGAAATAATTTTATGTATCTTGCCTCTTATCTCAATCTTACTAATATTATAAAAAGAATGTATGTATGTATCTTGCTGAATTTTGGCATAGATGTAGAACATAGCCTGGAACACATAGGCTACTTATTAAGTTTTTTTTTCAATTCAACGCGGACGGAGTCTCGGGCGCCAGTAGTACTAAATATTTATAATGTAGAAATGTACAGATATTTATTTTACAGTATGTATGTACGTATAGTATCGAGCAAATGTTTGTCTAATGGAAGGTCTATAGGTCGTTTGGCGAAGCTTACCCTTGGGGTGCGGTCTCATTTCACCCCACGAGGCGACTCTTAGTTTACGACACTTGATATTTTTAGCGAAACTAGGTTTTGCAAACATAAGACTAAGCTTACAACATAATGTAAATAATGACATACCAAGTCATATATATTTTCAATTCTATAAATAGAACGAATTATAATTTTGCACGACAAAACAATACATAAAAAAGTATATAAGAAGGTAACAGTAACAACAATTATGTACATAGGTACATTATAGAACTTCGATGATTTCCGCGTACACATTGACACGGATTTCCCCGAGCACGCGTGCCTTTGATAGTAACAACCTTCCCAATAACTACACCTAGTAACACAACTAACGTCTAATAATGTGACGTCATCAATGCACAGTTTAATTGCCAGTTAGTGGTCAGGAAATTAAATGGCACATGCAATGAAAATTAAGACGAATCAGACATGTCCTACCTCGAATCGATAAGGGGGGAAGGAAATAAATTTCCTTGACTGCACGAACAGCTTTGAACGTTTCTATTAAAAGCAGCTGTTGCCTTTCTTTGCTTTAATTATTTACGGTTTAATTAACTTTCTATAAGTACGAGTGTTAAGTACACACAGACCTACCTACAAAGGGAAAGTTATTCTCACAATAAAAACGTGAACAATGTATCAAAGATTACACACAATATAAACGCTATTACGACCTCGGCTGTCAATACTTATCTCTAATATGAACTATCCTTATCGTATTGATTTTGAATAGCATCTCATATGAGGACCCTACACTGATATTATCAAATATGTTAATATTAGGACTAAAATTAAACCAAATCACAAAACCGGAACTTTCCCGTCTCTCCTAATTATATTATATTAGCAGTCGCCTGCTACTCGACTAAAAATAAAAAAGAACTTAATTAGTAGCCTACGTGTCCTTCCAGTCTATGTTCTACATGTACTAAATTTCAACGTGTTCCATGCAAGAAATCTGTAGATACCTTCTAATCAGTGGGGCGTCGCGGTGGTAAGTTAACACGATCCCGTGGCGTCCCACATTATGACTATGAGGGAACAGAGGGGTTTAGTGGGTATGCTCCCATTCGGGGAGAGATACCTTCTAACAAACATCCATACATCTACATTTATAATATTAATAAGAAGTAAGGTACTAAATACAGTTTAGTCTAAAACTCAAACAAATAAAAAAGTTCCTACTTAAAATAAAACAAAGTTTGACGACCTTATAAACAAAACAAACGCAAAAACAATTTTATATGAATGCATTGAAATTATTAATTGTTTTATAATTTTGCTGTTTTGCTTATTTTACCCACGGCTAACAATATACATACTGAACCCTTCGATTACACGTACTTTTTAATTAATATAATATAATAATTACAACATAATTTAAATATCACAATTTATCATGATATTATATAATAACGTGGACCCTCGGAGCGAAAACATAATCACTATTACATAAGTAACCAGCTATTTGTACATGGCTTCAACGTAAATAGTAAAATTATAAACAAAATAACTGTCGCCCGCGACTCCGTACGCGCGGAATTAATCATAATTAGCAGCCTATGTATTATTCCAGTCTATGCTCTATATGTATGCCAAATTCATTGAGATTCCTTCAGCAGTTCTGTAGATACCTTTAAACAAACATCCATCCATCAAAACATTCGCATTTATAATATTATGACCTACAAAGCTCTCAAAAGGTTAAGAAAATAACCAAGTCCAGCTATGTCGATCATTTAAAAAAAAACTTTCCTCGTCAGTATAAAGTTGTAAATTAACTTGACGTCAAATATTTCCTTGGATACGCCAATGTCACAATAAA